ATTGTCATAAGTATACTTCTCATTATTGCTATCGGAACCTTTTTCCTCGACCATTAGTATTGTGAGCTTTCTTGTTTGAGTACTAGTCTGCTTCGATGATTGTCAAATGTCTGCCGTAATAGGGGATTATAACGGCATCACTCTGGCGGCTTTGTCCTCTTAGTAAGAGAAGCTACATTAAAAGACTAGAAATGTCCCCCTATTAAAATAGAGAATATGTCTTTGTTGTTTACAAGGCCTCTCGTAGAGCGAGACTGTAAAAATGCATGGCCGTGCTCGGATGGATTTTAGAAATTATCAGTTTATTGACAGTCGGACTCGAAATCGAGAATCACTTCTGGATGTAATAAGGATGACATATTAGTCTTACCTTATAGTTCATGAAGAGGCATTAAGCGACATAGGAAAAGGGCTATACACTAAAAGCACACTTGTCTGGAAGGACAAGTGGGACTTCGAAAGGAATAGTGTCCTTCGAACACGTGTATTATTCTGTTAGTGGGTTCAGAATTATTAGAAAGCTAATATATTCAGTAAGGTCAAGTGATCAGAATGCCTGGGTGGTGGCCACTTCCGATCAGTAATACTAATGCATAATTAATATTACAGATTAATCTTGACTGAACCCTTCGGCTCACACCCAAGCAATCAACAAGCCGAAGCGACAAATTAACTCGGATGGAATTAATGAGTCGACCGAGTAATATTTATTTAGACGTCAGAAATTCGAGCTTAAAGCGTCGAAATCGAGCGTCGGAAGTCGAGTCAAAAATAATAAAAGACCAGATGTGAAAATTTGTAATAAATCAACATAATTCCCAAAATACCCCTAGCATCTGAGTACCCGAGCAATCCGAGTGCTATGGGTATAATGCATAGCATGGTGGCTAGCATGCGCACCAAGCCGAGCCTAGGCTGGCTGGTGCATGCTAGCGCACCATTACTAGCAGCCAAGGGCCAGCCTCGACACCTAGGGGAAGCGAGCAGCAGCAGCCCGCACTCAGAATGTACGGCATGGTGGCCGCAAGCAGCAACAGCCCGCACTTGGAGTGCGCGACTTGCTAGCCGCAAGCAGCAGCAGCCTGCAACTCCGTGGTGCGGGTAGCTGGGCCGAGTGTGCGGGTAGTGACAGGCTCAAGTCGTATTCACCTAATCAAAAATAAAACCTAAATCCACTAACTATGTAGATAGGGAAGAAGGGTCGAACCACAGGGAAACAAGTCAATTTATTCCTAATTAATTAAGAGCAATCTAAATTATCAAGTAACCAAATTATTGTAAAAAGGTAATTAAACTACTAAAGGTAAGAGTAGGAAGGGAATAAAATAAGAGGTAAATCAATGAAAGAAAAGCCTAGGGCATAGGTTCACCAATAAACAAAATTCCAGGATAAATCATAATAAGCAATCATCAATGCATCAATTAATCAGATTATAAAGGGCTTTCGCTACGTATTACAATCACAGAGTTAATTTATTGGTATTAAATATCATCTCTCGAATCTCGACTTAACCATTTATAAATTGGTCCACCTATTGAAACTAAGCCTAAACATCAATTCTCATCTCTCGAATCTCGAATCAATATTGTTAAACTCATACAATTAAATCTGGCCAAACCTAATTGCATAGCATTGAATCAATCAATAGGAAAATAATTAATCATTGATAATCAACAATCACAAATTACCCCTTCATAATATTTATTAGATCCCCATAAACCCTAGAAATAAAACTACTCACGCATAATTAAATCTAAACTAATCAAAGCAATAGAATAAAACATGATGAAAGAATTAAAGAAAATAACTGAAATTAAAAGAGAAGAAATCGTTACCAAAAGTAATCTGAATTAAGGAATGGAATTAAGAACAAAGTTGAGAGAATTTTAGAGAGATAAAATATTCTAAGTAGAGAGAGAAAGTCTAAAAGAGATGGTAAATCAAAATTACGTACAAAAATCGTACTTAAACATCTCTAAAACAAATCCTAATTGAAAACTAAAATCTCGGCAATCAGGTGCCTCCAAAAACACGCGCCCGATCGGACGAAGGGCCGCCTGATTGAGCCTGCCTTTTTCTTCAAGGTTCTCCTGGGCAGCCGCCCCCGATCAAGCTAGTTCTCACCCGATCGGGGGCGCCTTTTGCTGGTGCCTTCTTCTGCGCGCCTGCCCGATCAGGCGCAAGCTTGCCCGATCGAGCCTGGTCTCTTCCTCGTGGCTTGGACTTCGATTGGGCTTGATTCTTCGGCCCAATCCAGAGTTCCTCTTCGGGTCTCGAATACTTGGTCAAAATGCCCCGATATCACACACCGAACCCTTAATCACCAGCTCTAACCGGTCTTGGGCTTCAAAGATGGTCGTGTCCTCTTGCCAGATCGAGCCTAGTCTCTTCCTCGTGGCTTGGACTTCGATTGGTCTTGATTCTTCTGCCCAATCCGGATTTCCTCTTCGGGTCTTGAATACTTGGTCAAAATGCCCATGTATCACACATCGAGCCCTTAATCACTTTCTCTAACCGGTCTTGGGCTTCAAAGATGGTCGTGTCCTCTTAATGTTCGTAGTTGCTCAATGAAAAACCCGAAAAACGCTCCAAATGTGCAATTTCCTACAAAACTCAAGCAAAACTACAAAAACACTAGAAAACACCAACTAGTAATAAAAGTGGCTCTAATGTGCCAAAAACCACTACTAATTATGACCAAGGGATGGGGGTAAAACACTATATAAATTGGACACATCAAACTCCCCCAAGCCAAACCTTTGCTTGTCCCTAAGCAAAGAGCTCATCAATGAACATATAAAACACGCTTCATCCCAAGTAAACAAAATCAAGCACAAACTATTCAAGGCAAATCTAATGAACATGCTTAAATGTCAATCAATCTCATTCATCTAATCATTTTTCCTCCCCAACAATTGTCAAGTAGAGCAAACCACATGAGCATATAGAATTCAAGACTAGTGCTCACACACTCAACTCTCATTTATATGGCGAGTAAAAGATGTACTCGATCGCTCTCCAACCAACCCCTTTATATGTGAACAATGCCCTCCTAAATCACACTCTCGTGTGTTTAAAACGATATACACTCAACCTACTAGTCGACTTGAAATATGTCAAATCATAACTTGCATTGATAAACAACACTTTCACATTCATACAACTCTATGCACAAAGGTCAGAAGGTCTTCAAAGCTTGTAATGTAAAACTAGGGTAAAGGGTAGGAAATATTTGGGAAAATGTGAGAGTAAAGCTATGCTTAAGGGAGCCATATCCTAAAAAAACCCAAGGTCAAAAACCAGTAATGAGCAAAACATCTCCAATCACAACTCAACTCCACAAAAATTCACCAAACAATCCCATCACTTACATATTCACTCACAAAGTATGATAATAGGAAATAGAGTGAATTAAAACAAACTTTGAACTACTTATTCTTTTCCTTTTCTTTCTTTTTTTTTACAAACTTGAACTTTTTTTCTGAATTTTTTTCTTTTTTTTTTCTTGACATTCACATAGAATATTTGAAATAATTTTTTTTCTTTGCTCATTTTTTTTATCTCACATTGGAAATTTTCAACTAGAAACACAAACCATCAATTTTTTTTCCAATCATAATATCAAAAGAACAATCACTCTTCTTTTATTCCCACATTGTGCAAATAGAATGCACACCACAACTCCCTCACCTCACCAACTAATAGCTACCCCAAGCCAAGCTTGGGACTAGTAACCAATGGGGCTCATATAGGCTTGTAATGTGGCTAAATAATCAATAAAGAGGGCATAAGCAACAACATGGGTAGCAAGAAGGGAACCTAAGAAAACAAATGCCTTCGTCCTCCCCAATGTGCATAATGTTGAGCCATACAAACATTACTAATAATTGCAAACCAATACTCAAATTCCTTGACATACCAGGAACTATCACACAATTCCTAACCAAATCAACTACTCAAGCACTATATTCACAAATAGTTGGCAAAATTGACGCATGTTTAGGCATCCAAACAATTAAACTTCAAATCATGATCAACAAATTCACAAAGCTCATTATCATATACCAAGAATCAAAACAATATTTTCCAAGTATGGGACACAAGGAAGCATGATTTACAATTCATTGAAACGTATTTTTGAATTTTTTTTTTTATTTTTGAATTTTTTTATATTTTTCAATTTTTTTATATTTTTTTCATAAAGGAAAGCAATAAAAACTACACTAGAAAGCAATATAACTATACTAGAAAGCGATAAATAGAGAAAAGAGAGAAAAGAGTTATCATATGTACAAGATATCTCCCCCCAAGCCAAATCAAGCAATACCCTCATTGACTTGGTGGTGTGGCTAGGAGAAGCTACTCCTCATCATCATCCTCATCCATCCGCTGATAGCCTCCTCCATAGCTCGAGCCGGCACCACACTGGCTCGTAGCAGCACCACCATAGCCCAAACCACCTGCAAAGTAGTTAGGGTAAACATTTCCCCCATCCCTCCAAAAGGAGCATCGGCCCCATAACCATGGACTAAAGAGTAGTCACTAGTGGAAAAATAACTATCCGTAACGGGCAAAAGCAGCCCATCCGTAACGGGCAAGGGGCGTTACGAATGCGGTTGTTACGGATAAACTACATTATTTGTAACGGGCGCTGCCCGTTACGAATAACGGGTTATTCATAACGGTCAATTAAAATGTCCGTTACGAATAACGGGTTATTTGTAACGGGCAGTTAAAATATCCGTTACAAATAACGGGTTATTCGTAACGGGCAGTTAAAATGCCCGTTACGAATAACCTGTTATTTGTAACGGACATTTTAACTACCCGTTACAAATAACGGGTTATTCGTAACGGACAGTTAAAATGCCCGTTACGAATACAATTTAAGCCAAATTTTTAAAAAAAAAATGTAGCAGGGATACCTGCTACCTGGTATGCTGGTAATAAATATTTTATTTTTTTTTTTAAAAGGAAAAGGGGAGTTCATGCTACTTAGTTAATCAAATCAACAAGTTTAGGGAGTTATAGAAACTGCTCCAACAGGAAAATCCCAACAATTACAAAATATAAAATAAAAGCATGCTCTACTTGAGTTCCATAAATACAATTACATAAAGTGAGAGGAAGGTTCCTCAAAGCTTGTAGCCTAGATGCATCTCTCCACCATATCAATTTCGTAGGCATTCTTGGCGCAATCTGGAATGGTGTTGTGCTTGATTATATCCCCCTCCATATCAATTGCCATTCATGCACTGCTATTCCAACAATATCAGCTCCGCTGTCCGCAATTTTCATGACCTGCCAGGCTGCCAGTAAATGTGATTAGGTTACCAAGAACTGGCTGAAAGTGTACAACATGAATACATGATAACCTTCTGATTTAATTGTGAGTGGATGTGCAATTCTCAAGTATACATTTGTGATTAGAACCAAGCAATCGATAGAGACCGAGTGTGATTATATTCCGTTTACTATGAATTTGAAAGATGAATATACTCTAAAGCCAACCTATCCTCTTCAAAATGAATAACTCTTTTCATTTTATCAACTCTTGCATATCGAAATTACCCCCCTCCCAAGCAGTCACCAGAAAGACGTATAGCCTACTCACAGACATTGAAACAATTTAGCTCATTCATGATGCCTAGTAAGCAGTTGCAGCACTTGAAACTCCAATGCAGAATACAGCTTCTATACCAACTATGAACCTCGCCCCAGGAAGAGAGTGGCCATGTATTGGACCTCAAAATCTAAGAATGCAGCTACTTACTGAATTACTACTGCAGTACAAGCTTTCAATCTTACACATCAGCACAAGGACCTTTCTTTTTCTTTACTTTAAATCTATTTAGCCATTTTAATTGTAGTCAGATTTTAACAGGTGGGAATAACATGAGACATTACTCACAGCAATTTGCTAGATTAGAGCTACAACAATATATTATAAAAAAGATAGATGAATCAAGTACATGCAAATTAATGTCATGCAATGCTCAAAGGAAAACAACTAAAAAAGCTGTGGCGATGCAAGGAGTGCTGGAGTGAAGCTTAAAAGGTAAAGTTTGTTTTTATCATTTTGTGAGTTGATATAGTACATTGGTTATTGCTCCCTCTGTCCTATAATATAGCACCCAACTCTTTTAGCGCGATCTTCAAGTCATACCTTTCACCATCATATTAACAAAGATTATGAAAAGTTGATATTATGACACTTCACATTAAGATGAACCTAACAATATCTCACGACTACATTTATAATACGTAATATTGAAAATTTTTAGTCCGTAAACTTTGACCACAGATGAAAAAAGACACTAGTATGAGACCCAGGGAGTGAGTAATATTATCATTGGAATAATTTTTCCCAAACTACTTATTTTTTTAAATGGTGTTCAAACTTTCTGTACAAGGTTAAAAATGGAACAGCAGACTAGTTTTTTGAGGACTCTCAACTAATCTATTCTATAAAAGTGTCAACCTCTGAAGATAAAGAGAGAAAAGGACAGTAGAGAAAAGATTCAAAACCTGAAAACGGCTAGATAAAATGTCAGTATCCTGCAAATACTCCGGCCGACCCAGCGACAAAAAAGCAAACTTCCACTGCAGATGTAATATGGGATAAAAATGACCAATGATCAATAATTGAAGAATGTGTTATCTTAAGATGTTAATTCAAAGCCATTAGTTAAATTTGTAAGGCAACCATTATTGAATGATGGAACTAAAAGAGTCGAGAGTAAAATGACTAGAAAGTACTATAATAGTTCCTCTTACATTGCCCGGTTAGTGGCACAAAGGAACGACAACATACCTTGGAAAATTCTTCATCAGGAACACGCAACTTCTTTTGTATTCTCACTTTAATTTTAGCTAGTGTTTCACCTTCACGAATGACCAAGAAAAAGGGTTCCCCAAAGTTCTACACAATGATCATCAGTATCACAAATGATGGACCAAACAAAATTACCTAACCAATATATTAGTATGCCGACCGAGTTTTCAAATCCTTACCATCTGATTCTGTGCAGTCTCCTTAGTAAAGTGGTAGACATGGATCAAACAATCATTAGGTTCAAGGTTCTTTATATCTTCAGGGATTTGAAGCCCAAAAAATCAATAATGTGAACCACAAATGTACTCAAAAATGCAAATGTGATCGGTAAAAAGAAGATTAAAATAGCAATTTATGACGAAAGATAAGCATTAAGATTTCAACAAAGACAAGAAAACTACCTCCTCTGCACGCAACGTTCGGTACTGGTCATTTATATTTTCAATCTTTTCACTAGATGGAAAAATCTACAATTGTAAAGATGATCAATTTGCATTCCACAAGTGTTCATATATAAAAAAACCAAAAGTACTTTCTACCATTAATTTCAAAACAAAAAACCAGCCATAACACAATAGATAAGGCTTGAAATAGCACAAGCTATACCTTGTAAATCTTGTGGTAAAAAACTTCAAGTAATCTGAGCTCTGCACCAAGATGTGTGACAAATCCACCTATTTGCAAAGGAAAACAAAAAAATATATATATGTATATAAGTGGCAAAGGAAGTCGTCACCTTTTTTTAATTGCCATGACATGCAAATTAAATGAACGAATTGGGGATAAATTGGTCGATTTCGGTAAAAAGCTCGAAGAACCCTAGAATTAATCAACATGCCATATCGGGTTTCTTAATTCTCTCTATAAACAAAAAAAAAAATTAAAAAAAAATTCTGCTACTCCATACAAAGGATAATCGAACCATAACCATTAGATTAACATACAAGAACCGACCAATTTTTTTTTAAAAAAAAATACAACAAATTCGAAAACAAAATCAAACAATCCTGCTACTCCACATTCCACAATGAAGCACAGTTAACTAATACCTCTAATAAGAACTTAAAGAAGACACAACCTAAACCCTTACACCTCTACAACACAAATCAACAGCTAAAACTGGAAACATTATTTTAATTCGTCGAAGCGGTCGATGCACCAATCACTACTTAATTAATAATGTAGAATTCAGAACCCAAATTCCATAATTTATAAAAACACATACACCCAGAATCAAATTATTAGAATTACAAATTCAAAAAACAATCAATTAATTCTGCAATAACCCGAATGCAAAAAATCAGCCAAAAGATGAAATTGACCTTAGGATTGAGAGAACCAGAGGAAGCGAGCTCATCACGAACCAAATCACCAGTAGAAATATGAGGAACATCGAGAAGCTTCGAAAGACGAGTAGCGTAAGTGCCTTTACCATGATGCTGAGAATGTGAGGTGAATGACGGGGAGGAGAGGAGAGGAGAGAGAGTGAGGGACTGATGAGAGAGAAAGAGGTGAATGACGGCTGGTTTTAGGTGAAACTCTAAAAAAACCCAAGTATTGGGCTCCTTTCATCAGTTGGGCCACATTTGGGTATTTGTATCGGGCACAATACGCCTGTTACGTATAATATAGTATTCGTAACGGGCAAAATAGTGTCCGTTACGAATACTTATTTATTTGTAACGGGCACTAATTTGTCCGTTACGAATACATAACGGACATTATTTTTCCCGTTACGAATAAAAAGTATTCGTAACGGACACTATTTTGCCCGTTACGAATAAAAAGTATTCGTAACGGACACTATTTTGCCCGTTACAAATATCTTAATTGTAACAGGCAAAGCTTTGCCCGTTACAAATAGCCTGTTACGAATGAGATTTTTTCCACTAGTGAGTCCACAAAAGTACCTTAGGCTCCGGGGGTCGAATACCCTCCTGGGGGTATTGGAACCAATCGGGAACTAATGCCTCGGGGGGAATAGCCCCTCGGCGTGCATAATCGTCATACATGGGGTATAGACCCCTCCCGAGGTTCCTCTCTACATGTCCAACCCTCCTATCTAGGGTGCCTAACCTAGAGTCTAGGTTTTGCACCATTCCCTCCACTCTCCCTTGCCCTCTTTCAATACGGTCTAGGTTGCTTCGAAAAGCCGAAAAGTCATAAGGGGCATGGGGGTCGATGTTATAATCGACGGAGGAGGTGGGTATGCCATATGTGTAGGGTTAGGGTGGTGGTTGGTATTGGGGTGGTGGTTGGTATTGGGGTGAATGGTGAGGCTCTTGAACCTCGCCTTGACCGTCTAACTCAAAAGTGTAGGAAGGCTTCCCCTTCTCAAATTTGGTGAAGGCGGGGTTGGGTAGCTTGAAAGCTTGGTCTCTCCTACCCGAATCCCGGTGGACTATCCAGCATGTCCCACCTCCCATATGTTGCCCCCAGTTAAGGCCCCCTAAGTATGCTAGGTCCATAAGGGTAGAACCCTCCACTTTCCTATGCCCAGTCGGGGTCCATCCTAGGTGTTTTACTGCTATATGGGTCACCAACCCCCCAAAATAGATAGGCGCCCTAGACCTAACCCCCTCGGCCGGATTGGACGCCCTTTGAAAATGTTGGGCTATCCTATGCGATATGTTTAGTTTTTCAGCATTGGGGATCATATAGGAAGCCAACAATTTAAGTTCATCCCTCCTAACGTTTGTCGGTTCATGCCTCCCAAAGATTGTGAGGCCTGCAAACCTTTGCCAAAACTTTTGGACGGGATGTTGAATCCACGTCCCTTTGGCATGTTGGAGGTTAATTAAACCCTCCCCGGTGAGTCTTTTATAGACCACGACAATGTGGTCTTAGGAAGGTTCAATAGGTTTATCCAATTTAAGCTCAAACAATTAACCAAATTCTTTTAAAGTTAAACGCACATCATTGTTTAGCAATCGGAATTGGACATGAGTGATCAAAGCATTAGTTTTAATAACATTGAAGCTAGAAACAAGTTTTAAAGTAAAAAAATCATAGGTGTCATAATGCATTTGAAAAAATCCACTCATTCCTATACCTTTGAACAATTTCTCTACCGGTTTATCAATTCCTAGCCTAGACAAAGTAGGATGATGTACAAATCGAGTAGAAATTACCGGCCTCTGGATGAGGTTAAGCGTCCTAGCTCGTTGTTCAGATGAGGTGATGACAACTTCATCCCATCCCGGAATTTGAAGCTCCGGGTCGACCCTAGGTTGTTGTTGTTGCCTCAAACCTTCACCTCTTTGCTGTCTTGATCTCTTTGAATCCATTTTATGTGTAAAATGTAAGATTTCAAGCTTTCTCTCTCTAAGGGTTTTGAGAAATCTTGAGTGAAAGTGGTAGAAATTTAGTGGAGAATGTAGAGGAAGGTGTAAGCATGAAGAATATGTGAAAATTTTAGAGTTTTGATGGATGAATTTGAGGAGATCTTGAAAGGAAAGTGAGTTTAAAGGTTTGAAAATAGATGTTTTAGAGAGAGAAAATGTGAATGAAGAAGGAGAAGTAAGAAGGAAAAAGAAAAGAAAGGAGGAGAAAAGAAATTTTAGCCCGGCCAAAAATAGGAGTGCCTGATCGGGCGAACATATGTTTTGGATATTTGTGAAGTGCGCGCCCGATCGGGCGCGAATTCGAAGCATTTTTTCGCCCTTTGCTTCGCCCGACATATCTTTTTACTTCACTTGATTTCTCTTAAAATCTGCGATCAGGCGGCTTCGCCCGATCTGGCGAATTTCCCTTGATTTTTCTTCCTTCCTTGCGCGCCCGATCGAGCGAGCCTCGCCCGATCGGGCTAAATAAAGCTCCGATAAATCTCAAATTGCGCGCCCGATCGGGCACATATTTTCTCGATTTTGACCCTTAGGTGCGCGCCCGATCGGGCGAGCCTTGCCTGATCGGGCCCGTACCCAAATTGGAATGCTCTTTTCCTCGAACCTTTTCTCTTTAAATCTTCTTACTTTATGATCTAATACCTGTACAAAAACACTTATGAAAGGTAAAATTGCACTCTCCTCATCTCCCTAAAAAAAATAAAAATCAAATAAAGGAAAAACTAGTCTAGAAAGCAAGAAATACGGGTTGTCTCCCGCAAAGCGCTGGTTTATCAGGACCCGCCCGATCCTTTTACCACATTGAAGCTCAAAATGAACCGGAACCGCTTAGGTGAAGTAGTTCAAATGCACCAATCGTAGCCCCCTCATGATATAGCTTGAGTCTCGGGCCATTAACCTTGAACTCGTTACCATGTTCATCGAATACCTCCATAGAACCAAATTTGTTAGCCATTAACCTTGACTTCAACTTTCCTGGGAAAAGTTTAAGTCTAGATTTGAACAACAACACTTTATCACCTTCTTTGAATTCTCTCGGAAGGATCATCTTGTCGTGATATCTCTTTGTCTTCTCCCTGTAGACAAGAGCACTATCATAGGCCGTCAACCTAAACTCATCGAGTTGGTTAAGTTGAAGTAAACTCTTTTCTCCCGCTAATTTGGCATCCAAATTAAGCTCCTTAATAGCCCAATATGCCTCGTATTCTAATTCCACCGGAAGATGACATGCTTTACCGCACACGAGTCTATATGGAGTAGTACCTATTGGGGTCTTAAACGCAGTTCTGTATGCCCAAAGGGTGTCATCCAACTTATCGCTCCAATCTTTCCTTGATTTTGCCACCACCTTCTCTAGAATGGCCTTGATCTCACGGTTGGAAACTTCAACTTGGCCACTAGTTTAGGGATGGTAGGCTAAACATGTCCTATGGTTAACACCATACTTTTTGAGGAGGGTGTCTAACTTCCGCTCATAAAAGTGAGATCCTCCGTCACTGATTATACCTCTAGGCACTCAAAATCTTGGAAATATAGTCTTCTTGAAAAGTCTGTGGACCACCTTGGCATCATTAGTAGGAGTGACAATGGCCTCAACCCACTTGGATACATAATCAACGGCGAAAAGTATATAGCGGTTCCCGTTTGAAGAAGGGAACGGTCCCATTTAATCAACACCCTAAACATCAAAAATTTCAACTTCTAAGATTCTAGTTTGAGGCATCTCATGCCGCCGCGAGATGTTGCAAGACCTCTGGCAAGAGTCACAAGCCTGCACAAAAGTGTTAGCATCCTTAAATGTAGTAGGCCAATAGAAACCTGACTCATTAATCTTCGCCACCGTTTTTGTGGGGCCATGATGTCCTCCATATGGTAAGGTGTGGCAACTAGTAAGAACACCGTGAACTTCCCATTCGGGAACACACCTGCGAAATAATCCATCTGAACACTCACAAAACAAAAAAGGATCATCCCAAGAATAATGTTTAACATCATAAAGGAATTTATTTTTCTGTTGGTAGGACAAGTTAGGAGGTAGAGTACTACCCACTAAAATTAGCAAAGTCAGCATACCAAGGGTGTTGTTCTACAACTGCATTCAGGTTGTCATCAGGGAAAGAATCATCTATAGGAAGAGAATCCTTACCCTCATCATACCTGATACGTGACAAGTGGTCTGCCACTACGTTCTCTACTCCCTTTTTATCTTTAATCTCAATATTGAAATCTTAGGGCAAAAGAACCCAACAGAGTAGCCTAGGCTTTGATTCTGCCTTGGCTATCAAGTACTTCAAAGCTGCATGGTCAGTAAAAACAATGACTTTAGAACCAACAAGATATGATCTAATTTTTTCTAAAGCATATATGACAGCAAGAAACTCCTTCTCCGTAGTGGCATAGTTGACTTGGGCTTCATCCAAATTTTTGCTTGCATAATAAATAGCATGCAAAAATTTGTTCTTTCTTTGTCCGAGCACGGCTCCTAGTGCAAAGTCACTTGCATCACACATAATCTCAAAAGGTAGATTCCAATCGGGAGAACATATGATGGGTGTTGATATCAAAGCCTGCTTAATCTTGTTAAAAGCCTCAAGACACTCGTCAGTAAAAAGAAAAGGGGCATCCTTGAGTAAAAGCTGAGTCAGTGGTTTAGCAATTTTAGAAAAGTCTTTGATAAAGCGATGATAAAACCCCACATGACCTAAGAAACTTCTAACTCCCTTAACATTAACTGGGGGAGGTAATTGCTCAATCACTGAAATCTTAGCTTTATCTACTTGTATGCCCTTGTCAGATAAAATGTGACCTAGAACTACTCCCTGTGCCACCATAAAGAGACATTTCTCCCAGTTTAGCACCAAATTGCATTCTTCACATTGTTTCAAAATTTTAGCGAGATTTATTAAACATGCATCAAATGAAGAACCATACACGCTAAAATCATCCATAAAGACTTCCATAATAGACTCTATGAAATCAGAAAAAGTGCTCATCATGCAACGTTGAAAGGTAGCGGGGCCATTAAATTAACCAAAGGGCATCCTACGATATGCAAAAGTACCATAAGGGCATGTAAAGGTAGTCTTTTTCTGATCTTCAGGGTGAATTGGAATTTGGAAAAATCCGAATACCCGTCCAAATAGCAAAAGAACTTATGGTTAGCTAACCTCTCAAGCATTTGATCTATAAAGGGGAGGGGGGGAAGTGATCCTTTTTAGTTGCGATATTTAGTCTACGATAATCAATGCACATACG